TTTTTTTTTTAAATCATCTTACGCAGGTCTGTTTGCATCTCATCATCAGGGACAAGCTGCTTGGACAGCAAAAGCTGCTCTGTACTGGTTGCAATGGCAATAGGCAGACTGAAAGGGACAAGAAAGGCAAACCTAGAGATCAAATTCAGCAGAACAAACCAGGGTGATACTGCAAGTATTCCTGGAGAGCTGGAAGACAATCTGGGGCTTGAATTTGTGCTGCTGTCCTCCTCCTCTGCCCTAGAAGCTACCTCTTGACATGCCCATCTCATTTATGAGACCCCTGTTATATATGAACTAACACTTCAGAACATTTGCCTCCACAAGGAATATTTTCCTTCAGATGAGGATTGAATGATGGCAAAACTGCATGGAAACTCAGCAAACTGGTTAACAAAACTGCCTAGAGCGTGCGTCTCGTCTCAACGTACAGTTCCACGCGACCACTAAACTGACTGGTCATGGCTAGCTGCAAGACGAAGGTCTTACTCTGGGCTGTGCCCTTCCGTTGTCACTTCTGTGCTGGCTTTGCTGCCTGGCTGGGGCCTGGTAAGCCAGGCTGGAAGCCTGCCCAGCAGAAAGATAAGCTGGGAAGAGAAGTTTCCTTGCAGTGTCTCACCGAGGCCAGGTGAGAGCCAGCAGAGGCTCAGGGGAAAGGGGAGCAATTCACCGAGGAAAACCACAGTAGCACTGACTTAGGCCAGTCTGAACTCTCATACGAGTGTGAACTCCAGGGTGGCGGCACTTCTTCCTCCTCTCTGCTCCACCCTAGGCACTGTCATCTCCTCCCTGCTGCCCTTTCTCATCCTTCTTTGACCCCTTGGGAGTTGACTCAACCCACTAACCTCACAGAGAAAAACCTCTTCATTTGATTGTCGGATTGATTCAATGTGCAACTGTATGAATCCCATAACTCTGTGAGGGAAAGGGGCAGTGAAGGAAGAAGTTGGGGGGCAGGGGGGAGGAGATGGAACTGTCCTTTTTTTGGTGGTCAAACCATTATTACCACTCACTTAGCATTGCAATTTGATGTTACACCTAATGAACTGTGCATGCAAGCTGCTACTGAAGAATATAGTCCTAAACTCACTGATCTGATGCAAAGTGAATTCTTTTTTTGGTGAGTTGCCACAAAGTTGTGTGATTGTTAAATCCGGTTCAGGGGAAGCTGCAGGAACGTCTATGTGGAAGTGACTGGGAACTGCTGCTTTTTTGGGGGGCAATCTGCACTTAGGTCATGCTATCAGGATGTGAAATGGTCCTCTTTGCATGCTTTCAGAAGGGATGAAAACAAAACTCAGCTTGTCAAAAAAAATTTAGTTTTGAGTTGGGTCAACACACTGATCTGACTTAACAGCTGCAGAACAGCTCATCCTAACACAGGGAGAGAATGAGAAGATGCAGTGAGGGACAGGAGATGGGGGAATCTCCTCTTTTGCTAGCAGCATGCTCTTAGATTGGCTGATGCTGAACATGGAGCTGCTCCCCAAGAAGGGGATTCCAAGTGATAGAAGAAATTTTCAGCTTTTTATAGTAAATGGCTCACCAAAATGATCCAACTTTAAAAAAATTTTAAAAATATCTCTTTACTTTTGGAAGCTGAATGTTTTCACTGGCCTCACAAGCAGGTGAATTTGTGGGAGAATAGGAGGATGAAGAACTACACCAGTGAGTGAATAATTGACTAGGAAATTGGGAAATCAGGAGCCTACTCAGCTGACTTTACCATCAGGAAATTTATAATGTGAAATTGTGCCTTGGATTTTCTACAGTAGCTTGTAAGGAAGAAGGATGTACCTCAGCAACCCTCTCTTCTTACATACTATTATGGTGATGTAACCCCAATTTCTTGGTACTGTGGGGTGGAGGGAGTGGTACAATACCAAAACCATGACATGTGGCATGGTAGGGAGCAGGGCACTTTTCATATGTGTTTTTGGAGGAGCTAAACCCATATTTAATTCTGTAAGTTAACTTTCTGTAAACTTAAAAACTGTTATGGCTTAAGATTTACTTAAAATTGCTGTTTCTGTGTTAGAATAAAGTTAATTGTGTGCCATTTTGAATTTGTTTCTGTCTTCACCTACCTTGCTTTTTCAGCAGTTTCTGACTTAAAAAAAAAGTTGCAATGGTTTTCTCCTTGAATAATAATTTGTTGCTAGTTAATGAAAGAGTCTTTGTGATGACTTTATCATTATGATTATGCAGACCTGGCTGCTGGTGCCAGAAGAGTGATTAAGAGCGCCATAAACTGACTCTTGAGGGTCCAGTCACAGTAGAATATACCGCACGCTGCAAATTCAGCAGGTAAGCAGTCTGACAGTTTTAGGTTTTCACTTAAAAGTGTCAGATGATCCTGAGTCTTGAAAACAAACCAGTTGTTTCTATTATTATCTGTAAAAAAAGGAAGTCAGGTTAAGTTTCCTTTACACAACTTCTTAAAAAAAGTTAATATCACTTGAGAAAAATAACTGGTTTTCACAAGAAAATAATCACCATTCTACCTCTTTTATTTTAAGGAGCACCTTTGCAGTTATGCAAACATAACTGTTCCTTATATGTATAGAACTGTGAAGAACTTTATTGTATAATTTGGAAATAACAATGCAGAGACACCAAACAATATTACTGTACAAAAGAGTTGAGATAAAAACATAAACTTAAAAAGAAAACAACAAAATCCCTTATAGAAGAGAGCAATGTGAAAGACCAAATTGAATGTAAAACTCACGGATACAGATTCTTAATTTTCAAATACTAAAGACTAGCAGAACACCTGTGAGCAGGCTGTTTGATTGCAACCATCCGAGATGTTGCTTCAAATCTGTTCACAACTGTGCCTGAAATCATGTTAAACCATAATCTAATTAAGCCTTAATTCCTGTAGCCTGTGTGGTTTTAACAGGGAGTAGTTTCTTTACAGTGAGGTCTGGTTTGCTTCAGTTATTTGTGTGACTTAAATGGAGTTGTGCAACTAGAACATTGACCACAAACTACCTTCTGAAGATGAGAAGTGAGCTGTTGATGTATTGGAAATGAAGAGTTTTATGGTGAATACCTGTATCCAGCCTTTTCAGTCTTGTGCTTTGCTTCTGTATTGGACCAGTAAATTTCTTAATTTTCTGGGATGCCAAAACTGGTCAGCTTTCCCAAAGTGCTACACACAAAGCAATGGCTGTAGACCTTTTGGTAGGTCTGCCTTGACTCCGGACTTTGATAGCAGCAGGAGTCCTGAACTGCACCAGACATCTGTCTGGTACCTACCAGTCTTGGAAGGTAAGTGTCAACTTATATATATATATATATATATATATATATATATATGTAGTCTGTAAGTATCTAAGCACTGCATATAGGGACTGTACGAAGAATTAATTTTATGCATTAAAAGTTTTTGTATAGTTGGTGTGTGTCTCTGACATTGGATGTTGAATTCTGAACCAAACATCAGTAGGATCAGGAGGAAGGGTCAAGCTGACAAAGTCACTGAAGTGTACTTGGGTTTGGAAATAAAGTTATAATAAGCGATAACAAAAATACATAAATAGATGTAAAAGCTTTACAAAGGCTTAATACTTGCTGCAAGAAATGGTAGTCTGTTCATACAGAAAAAAAAATCTATTCGAAATGTGTCTTCTGTTTCTTTGTGATTCTTTTGTTCACTTGTCGCTTTTTATAGAAACTTTTCTGTATAGGTACTTAAAACTCACATATCAGCTGTATTTGAAAGAACATAAACAGCAACTAGGCCATTATTAGAGTTTTTGTACCAGAGAATTTTGAGTCATACCTTGCTCTTGATCACTGGTTTTTGTAATTGACTGGAGCAGGACTGGAAGAAATATGGTCAACCGTTCAGCATACGGTCTGTTCACACTAGAAACTCTTCCTATCAGCATGCAGCTGTGCTGCTGGAAGCAGTAGCAAGAGAGCAAGCTGGATGATTATATTTAGGTTTCCATTCCAACTGCAGGGAAATGGTTGAATATGTTGGTTGGTCGTGGAGGCAATGACCAAGAGTAGTAGCAGTAGTATTATTAAAGGAAGACAGGTAGAGGCAGGGTTGAGGAAGTCCTCTGGCTAAAGGAAAGGTCACACCTGACTGCAGCTGGTGTTGTCCATACTTTGTACTCAGTCAATCAGATATTTACCACTTTTATTTACTGGAGTAATTTCATTGCGTTTGTGCCTAGTGGTTGCAGAAAGCTCTTACAGTGCATGAGCTGATGGGGTACCTCTTCATTAGTGAGCAAAAGTGCCAAAGCCCACTTTTCATCCCTGAGACCATGCTTGTACCAGACTGTCCTTGCCTCCAAAATGGACCAGCTGTGTCCTGGCTGCCTGCTCCCAATGTGTGCCAGAGGCCATTGTAGGAATAGAGATAAGCAAGCTCCAGTGTTTGGACCTGTGTGCTGATGGCTTTTCTATTCTGGCACAGGTATAGCTAAGGCAGCTGAAAGCTGCTGCAGTGGATTCGTCTCTCCAGTGCGGATGGGCGCGGTGTCCACCTCTACTGCTCAGAAGGCTTTGGACTAATTCTCTTTGAATAAGTGTCTTCCACACTTAGTAGTAAGAGGAAGGAGGAAGATCGCACACCAACATGTTGTAATAGCTTCCATACTTTAGTTATGTGTAAATTGGAACAATTTTTCTGTAGCATGGATTCAAACTCCCCTAGATCTGTAAGTGATTTGCCTTCTCCAAGGCACATACAAAGGTCAATTTTGCTTTGAGGCAAAGGACTGAAGGGCTTAAGGATCCTGAAAAGTCTTACCCTAGTTTTATGTATGTTCTGCATATTTTATGAATTTCTCTCTGTCTTTGTCCACCAGTGAAATAAAAAAAAACAAAGAGAAAGTTTAATAGTGAATATCACTTCTGTATTGACCTATCTTTGTTTCCAAGTGGATAGTTTTATTATGTAAGTATTTCTCATTACTATGTTGATACTGTAAAATGCACTAGTTTTATCAATTTAATATTTTTGCCATTTTTCTTAGGCCTCAACACTATTGATGGCTTTAATGTAGCTGCTAGAAATGGCAAGTAAGTAAACACTTTGTGTTGTCTCTATTTAAGAAACTTTGTGGGGAAAGTTGCCTTTTAGATAGATGCCAGGTAATAGCCATTCTTGCTGTTAGCATTATCTCCCGCCCAATTCCCTTTTGCTCTGAGATTTGGGTTCTTAACTTGGAGGTTATGGACAAAAGGCAAGGAGAAGTCCTAATTCCTTCTTTCGTCCTTTCTTAATTATCACATATTTGTTTATTTGTTTGTTTTTATTTTTCCCAAGATAAGCCTAGAGTAGCAGAGTTACTTACCGATGCATGTGATGGTGTTTTTGCTTTGCAGTCTTCTATTGTTCTATACTGTGATGTGCCCATCACACCTTCTTCATTCCCTGTCCTGCTGGGACCTGCCTGTAGTTGCCTCTTATTCCCTAGTTTTTTGCCTCAAGGGTGTAGTTAATTGAATTACAGTTCATGTTCTCTGCTTGATTCCCAAGAGCTAGAAAGCAGGGAAGTCCTAGCTACCATCTGCTTTTCCCCCGTCCTGTGGATTTCTTTCATCTCTAATGAACTCAGACCAAAACACAGACCACTGTGCTCATGAGCTATCATAATATTTCAAAGGTGTTTTTGAGCTGGCTGGAAAAGAGTTCTGAGGCACGCAGACAGACGTTGGATAGATCAAGCAATGAGCCCGTGAAAAAACTGAGGATTTACACAATCCAGCAACTGGTTTATTAATGACAGTATTGTAAATGTGAAAAGAAAAACAGCTTTCTGAATGTACTTTTTTCACTGTAAACAGTGCAAGAGACCATTTGTGCCATTCTTTTTTTAATCTGAGAAAATGCTGGTGGAACCTTGTCTGCAGGGTTGGCAGGGGTGTGTTGGCAGTTGGGCCACCAGGGATATGGTTAGGTGACAAAGTCATGGCTCAGGTGGACATGGTCATAATCAGCTCTTCAGTAAACCCAGACAAAACTTCTGCCTACCTTCTACTTCCCCTTTAAATGAACAAATGTGATTTATTATTATTATTACATTAGAATAATTTTTTATTATTATTAAACTTCAGAGAGAGGAAGATAATCCTTGATTCACTACAAATATTTATTCACTAGATATTGCAAGAAAGGCAATAGCCACAGCACTAGAAGCCAGTCTTGCACACCAGACCACGTGGACATTCTTCAATTCACCAGGAAGCTCTGATAGCAATTTAGATACCAGTGAAACTGAAAAAAGGTTTGAATTCCATTTGAGAGAAACCCTGCACATGCCTTTTTTTCTTCTCTGATGTAAAGAAATAGGTATCAAACTTTGGCAGTTCCTTCAAACAGAACTTCTTGGCTTTTTAGAAAAACAAACAAAACAAAACCACCAAACCATGGCATTTGTAAAATGCTGAATATAGATCTACATTGGTTAGTGAAATATTCTACATCCTGGCTTACTCGGAATGCTTCTCCCATGGACAGAATTTAATTTGAGTCTCTTCAACTATTGCTCACAGGACTGTGTTAAAGGGGATTGAAAGTTCTGTCCTTGTTCTACATCAGAAGAGGTTCTGGCAAACATAGAGTTGCTAGAATAGCTTACATAAAGAAAAAGACATGTGTGGCATGAATAATTTGAGAACTGCTGTTCTCACATATTTATGTTCCCAGATACCCTAAGAACAAGTACTGAAACATTAGGAGAGCCTAAGTAGAAGTTGCAAGGAGAAGTTGTTGACCTGGCGGACAGGCAAGTTGTGCGCTACATATTGCATAGTGATAATGAGGGAGTTCCAGTATGAAATGTACACAAGCCTTTATAAGATTGATTATGGCAGGTATGTTAATGTATGTTGTGGTGACATCTGTAACTTCCTTTCTGTCCTCAACAGGCCAATGCAACTGGTGGCAATGCTAAAACTGTGTTAAGAGTTTTTGGGAAAGCGTTACCAAGAAGAAGCTACAGGAGCTCAAAAGGACACCATCGAATTAGCCATCAGCTTTGCTAAGAAGTAATCCAGTACAAGGGGGGTGATAAATGCTTCAAGAAAAGCTTGGGCTTCTTTCCTTCATGAAAATGTGAAATGCTTGGTAAATATACTTGTTTTAATGATTTCATTGTATGCTACACTGTGAAATCTGGTGGAAAAAACATTGAACTTCCTATAAGGAGAAACCAGCCACCACAGGTATGTGTTAATGACTTTACAGGAAACAAGTATATAACTGGTATACAAAATCTTCTCACAAAAATTATTCCAGGTGACACCTGTGCATTCAAGTTGATGTATGAAATCTCCCCTAACATCTGGTGGTACAATGTTAGGTGACTTCTGTAGTGTCTCTGTAGATTGATAGTGCTGGGAGCTATAGTGATTGCTGCTAATTTATAACAGTGTAAGATGCTGTTGGGAACATCTCATGCAGCAAGCAGTGTAGGAAGGTGTATGGCAACATGCTGCTTGTGTGGGTTGTATAAGACATTATCATTGTCTTTTGAAAATGATAGCAGTGTTTTATCCTGTAGTGATCCTTATCACAGTATTTCTGATGTGCTGTGGTCCCTTCGTAGCTTAATAGCATCTGTTTCTTTCACAAGTGGAAAATATGGGCTTTAGAGTATGTACAAAAATTTACATTAAAAATATTATCGGAATACAGGATCTTCTTTTTTTGGAACAGTTACTTGAATACTTACTACATACTACAAAGTATTGCCAGCAGGTCAAGGGAGGCGATCCTTCCTTTCAACTTGGCACTGGTGAGGCCACACCGGGAGTGCTGTGTCCAGTTGTGGGCTCCCAGTACAAGGGAGACATGCACATACTGGAGAGAGTCCAACAAAGGGCCACAAAGATGAAGAAGGGACTGGAGCATCTCTCCTATGAGGAGAGGCTGAGAGAGCTAGGACTACTCAGCCTGGAGAAGAAAAGGCTCAGGGCGATGTTGTTAATGTATGTAAATACCTGAAGAGAGGGTGCAAAGACAACAGAGCCAGGCTCTTCTCAGTGGTGCCCAGTGGCAGGACTGGAGGTAACGGGCACAAACTGAAACACAGGAGGTGCCCTCTGAACATCAGGAAATAATTTTTTTTTGTTTGTTTTTTTGTTTTTTTACTGTGAGGGTGACCGAGCGCTGGCACAGGTTGCCCAGAGATGTTGTAGAGTCGCCATCCTTAGGGATATTCAAAAGCTGTCTGGACACAGTCCTGGGCAGCTGGGTCTACTGGGTCTAGGTGGCCCTGCTTGGGCAGGAAGGGGTTGGACCAGAGGACCCCCAGAGATCCCTTCCGACCTCAACCATTCTGTGGTTTTGTGACAGTTGGCGGAAAAAATAAAGACACCATCTTCAAAACTGTGTTCATTGTTCCAGCTCATTATGTTTTGGTGTTTTGTTTGTTTGTTTTCTTCCAGTAACTCTCAGGTGTGGATGGAGAAAAGCGGTGGACTCAAATTTACCTACAGGTACCTCAGGTTTCCTATTGACTGTCTCTAGGCCTTCAGCTTGAATAACAAATTTTAATGCGTGTGTGCTTTGAAATTCAGTGTGCATTTCATCTCTCCAATACAATAGTACAGTGACTGTGACTTGGATGTTTAGGAAAACAGCACAGAGAAAATGGGAGAGGGAACAATATGTAAACACACTTTCCCAAATATATAAAGAAGCAATTAATTTGCTTCGCATTAATGTTTTTGACATTAATCAGACTAACTTTTTAGTTTTAACATTCGTTCAAAGTTTAAAAAACCTCACTGCCCCTTCAAATATGAGAACAGTGTGGGGGGAGGGAAGAGAAGGGAAAAAAAATAAATCTTGATTTTTTTTTTTTTATTATTCACCAAAAGAAGTAAAAAGATAAATCCAGGTATTCTTTGCAGGCGCTTTTTATTTTTGATCAAGTAAATCAGCTTGTTTGAAACACCCATGGAACTAAAAGAAGGAAGCAAGATTGCAGTTCCAGGTTCAGAAATCATGTATTTCCATGCTTTTATGCTTTGTGTGTGTTTAGGGTGAATCAAATTATGAATTCCCAGTGGAAGGCCAGCAGTTCAGCTAAAAAACATGCACCTACTTAATCCAAGATGATATGCAAGCACAGCGAGGTGGAAATTAAATGCACCACTCCAGCAATAGTTTCCTACAATGTGATACTTGCGAGGATAAAGGAAAACAAAGACACAACCTTGTCATTTGTTGGTTTTTGGGTTTTGGTTTTTTTTTTTTTCACAGAGGAAAAAATAACTATTTTCCCAACAAAGTTGGAGTACTCACCAGAGTGTTAATTCTTGAGTGTTCGGTTTTCTTTTAGAAATAAAAATTTCTAATAGCTGGCATAACTACCTATGTGTTTATAAAATACTGATAAACAATTAAATATAGTACATATTTTTAAATTTTGAAGGTACCTAGTGGAGTATAGCTCTGCCTAACATCTGAGCTTGTTTAATACTAGGTCACAGCATGAGAGAACAGGAAGATATCCTATATGCTACAACAATTCCAGTTTCTGTTTAAGGAGGTAGGTGAACACCAACACCAGTTTCAATTTGTCTGCAGTTGGATTTAAGAGTTTACGGGTGTAGTTTGTGTTACAGCTTTCGCTCAGCCTTATCGTGGCTGGTGTTAAGTAGCAGGAGGGGGATGCAGCCCTCGTTAGACCCTTTGGTAATGCCACTGTTTGTTGCTGGCGGTCTCTTAATTCACCATCATCTGATTCGTAAGTCTGATTCTGACTGTTTGCATTGCTTTGAAATGCTTTACAAATATTTAGCAGCACAGGTTTTGCTATGGAATGTAACTAAGTAGACTAGAGTGTCACAACTGGAAATCTGTAGTATTAATCATTTTGTCCTACTCAGATTTTTGGTGCAAAAGATATTGAAATGCAAGTTGCAGAAACAGATAAGGGAAAAAGAATCTTAAAAGAAACAGAGAAAAATACCTAACTTGCAGAACAATTATGATAGCTGTTTTGTTTTTGAAGTTCTAAGAGGCAGGAATTGTTTACAGTGCACAGAGTTGCTAAATGAACTTGTTTCTTCCTAAGCTGAGTTCTGTAGTTTTCTTGAAACTTGATGAAGCTACAGTTGTGCTACACCCAACATGCTCATTCATCCTGCACTGTGCAAAGAGGCATATATTCACATATTCTTCTTTTTTTCTTGCACATGTATTTGCCACAAAAAGTTACTAACATGTTTTCCAGAAGCTGATGATTGCCCCCAGTTAGTGTTGGTACAAGAGATGTAAAATCTGTTAGAACCCCTATTTTTTTCCCTTTTCTACTGTAACTTTTAATATGGGATAATTACTGCTCAGTGGTAGTACGAGTCCAGTAAAGTTCTGATTTGTGTTCTGTTTCATTTACTAAGTGTTGCAATGCTGTACATTATTAATGAAAAATAGATTAGCAATGTCACCTTACATAATGCTGTATTATTATAGGCCCTGCAGCTTCAGTGATAAAACTGCTTTCTTTTAAGGCATTTTACCAAATGGCGAGCGGTATTCAGTATGACTTCTTAATACAGTTATGTGATTCTTAAAAGGTTAAGTCTTAGATCAATTTTTTTTTTTTACTCTGTGTTCCATTGAGAACATATTTGTGCCCAATGGCTAAGCCTTCAATGCTGTGAATCTTTTTTTTTTTTCCCCCCAGAGGCATTTTAACTGTACCTATTTCCTGTTACTGTGTATTTTCAGCTACCCATTTCTATTGCTTATGCCAATTCCTCCCTTCTTTCTCCCTCTGTGCACTTAAGCCTTCTGATATTTCTTCCTCACTTGAAGCCTCGCTTGTGAGGTGCGTGGGCTTCCCCGACCTTCCCTCTTCTGCGGCTTCGTGATGTAGCTTCGGGTTCCCCAAACCAGCAGGAACTGCAGGCGCACAGCCAGACAGGCTTTCCTCTGCTGGGACTGAACGTGCCTCACCATGTGGCTACGCTCCATGTCCAGTTCGCTCTCTTGCTGCTCAGTGTAGTCAACCCAGCTTTACAGCTTAGAACAATATAAAAGTATATGCCTAATTCTTTTCTTGTACCTTGATGTTGTACTTTTAAATGTTTTATAAGGTCTTAAAGCTGCAGTGTATTGTACCTCATGGAACAAAGAGTCTGACTTATTTATGTAAGTGTAATGTTTGGTTTGGTATTGGTGACCCAAATGTCCAAAAAGTCAAGACGGACAAACCAGGGCAGACTGTAACACTGACTAAACATTAAAAGAAAGAAGAAATCTACTCCAGTTGAAAACTTAATGTAGAGGTGTGGTTACTGAGGATATTAAATAGCCAGTTGTGATTTCACTTGGTTGTTTTCATTAGTAAATAAATTCATATTTGCAACTGTATTCCCATTACTTAATATTTTTGGTCATGTCTTCTATTCCTGCATTTCCAGCTAACGCATCCTCTCTTTTTTTTTCTTAAATGAAATTTTCTATTCCCTGATTTTTACTGGTCTTATCTAGAGTATCTCATTTCTTTCAGCATCTTTTCCTGAAGAGCTAGTGTTCTTTGTTACTATTTAACTTGTTTCATGGTAAGCTTTTAATTTTTCCCATTAAAATTAACTATTTTAACTAATGAGATTAAATCTTCACACACATTTCTTCCCTTCATGTTGCTGTTACATGCTTAAGTTAATTCCATAGTGCCGCCAACTCTGTCATTTAAGAAAAGCTTAAGGCAAATATTACAAGTTTCTCATTCCAGCTAATTTGCTGGTTGTATTTAATTGATGATTTATCAATCGGAGAGAAAATAAAACTTTTGTAAAAAGGACCACTGACAGATTAAAAAGCCTGAAGCGTATTAGATGGATTTTGTAGGGTTGTAGGAAACTAAAACCAAAGTGTTGGATGTGAAACTGACTGAAGTTCTAAGGACTTTTAAAGGTCTGTCTTTGGAAGAGTTAAGGCCTGCTGTCTGGACAGAAATTTTGGAGGGTGGGTAGTTGGTTTGTATTTTAAATAAGCTATTTGGAAGCCTCAAGAAAGCTTAGAACAGCAGAGACCGATTCAATGTGCACTGTGTAAGTCTCAGCTGTTAGAAAGGGGTTATGCAGATGAAACTATGGGCAGTATATAACCTAAGAGTTCTGTGAACTTTTGTTTACAGTAGTGCTTTCCTATGCCCAGAAGCTAAAGAAGATATTTCTACATGAATGTCCGATGAGCCCATTCATGGGTTATTTGAAGTAGTGAAGCAGGTCAATTTGCTAAGGCTGGGCATTCATGGAATGAACAGCTAGATATCTGACTTTGAAAAGCAGTTACCATTTTTATCAGTATGTCCTGGACAAGGTCTTGGGGTGGAAAAAAGCTGTAGACAAGAATGGTGACTTAATTCAAAGTTTTTTCAATGCATGGGGTTTTTTTGGTGGTAGCAGTCACCCAAGAAAATAAAGATTTAAAAAAAAAAATCCAAACTCCAGGTAGTGACAAAAGTAACTTCCCTTACATGTGCTGTAACCTGTTCAGTTATGAAAATAGCTTTACAGTCCCAGATGCTTTGTTCCTTGTTATTCTGACTGACTTTTTGCATTTCGTTTACTCTGGGTAATGAAGACTGCATACTGGTAATATATTACAGCACATTTTTCCAGTGTGAAAAAAGGACTCTTCCTTTCATTTCCTGTGCAGTTTCATAGAATGATGGGTGCCTCTGCTTTGTTTGGAAAGGACACTTATGGCACATTAACGTAGCCCAGTATTTTTTTACATATATGTATATTTCTAAATCTTCTGGGCTTTGTTCAGCATTTTTGTTTGGTTTTTTTTCCTCTCTTCATTATCATTCTGCTATACCTGTGTTGTATTTTGTATTGCTTCCTTTGCTCCTTTTGCAGCCTCCGTATGTTTTTCTCTCGCTATGCTGTATTTTCTGTTTCCTCTTTTCATGCTCTGCTGTGCCTCGCAGCTTTAGTGCATACAATTCTGTCTTCAGCTGTTTTTGTCTCTTCCAAATACTCTTTCACTCCTGAGCATTTGCATAGGGTTCTCAGAGATTCCTCTAGAAGTTGAATGGCCTCAAGAAGAGAAAAACTTGGCCTTAAGCAGTAAGCTGACGCTGTTCTTCCCGAAGTCCAAGAAAAGCGGACAGTGTGCCTTTCCTTGCATCCTCCTCCTTCTGCCATCAATCACTCTTGGTCTTTGCTGGAACTGAAGTTTCCCCGTCTCCTGGTCTCTGAGCATCCTTCGGCATGTGGGAGGTAACTCACCTTACCCTGGTTGTTACTCTGCGCGTGTAACACAACTTCATACGCGTAAGAGATGATGTAATTTGCTCGCACTCGGCAGAGCTTACTGTAAGGGGTGCAGAGACTGCCGCCCTCCTGCGTTATCCCGTCGCCTCCTCTTCCACCATGTTCCTAGCCTGCTCTTGTACTTATAAACTGAAACCATTGCTGCTGCTGCCTCTTTGGGATTTTGGGCCAAGTTTGTTCCGGAATGGTAGGCACTGTGAGAGCTGTGGCAATGAGGGAAAGGGGATGCTGTGTGAGGGAGCAAATGCTGTGTTTGGATCCTAAATAGGGTTGGGGTTTTTTCTGCGTTCCTGAATATAGGCTTCTGTGGCACTGTGTTTCTTACCTGGCATGTTGCAAATGCAGGTGCAATAGCTGCACTTTCTGTAATCTGTTAAAGCTACCAGTGTGGTGGTGAAACAATAGTGGTGAAAGCATGGTAGAATGAACTTGACATGCATGTAAAAGATTAAGACGCTTATCCAGCTAGTCCATGCGATTTATCTTCATGCCTGTTGTGACCTGTACTAGTGGAGTTTGGGAGGGTACAGTTACCTGTGTTATGACCACACTGGAAATCAAGCTGTGGCCATATACTTTCAGTTCTCATCTCAAGCGATTCCTGTTCTGTTGCTGTTTCAGTTGCTGCTGACAGCGTTTTAAAGCAGTACCACTGTGAAATCAAGCAAGGTTGATTGCAAGGAAATGGTCAAAAGGAGGAGTGTTTCCTTTGCTCCTGCCGTCTGACAAACCTGTAAGCAGCGGTGCATGGAACTATCTATCAGGGCGTGGAAAGAGTTGTGTAATTTTTTGCATTCTGTTCGCATTTTACATGATTTTCAGTGTATCCTCAAGTATTAGTATTTCTTGCCTGCGTTTCCACCTGAAAAACGTAGTTGCAAAGGATGTTTAATACAAGAGTAATTAAAGTGAAAATGATTTTTTGCTCCCCTAACATTTTGTTGGATTTTGTGCTTTTTGTACCGCTTCAATGAACTGTGCATCAGGCTTTGCTTTCTGTAATTAGGCCGTGCTCAACTCGGGCCGATGAGCAACGCCCCTTAAGTTTTATGGGCAAAGAGAAGCACGTGCGTAAGGACCCTTCAGAACCTACTGAAATTTAGCCCAAACTTAGCTATGACAGGCAAAAGCCTCCCAACAGAACGACTGAAGGTCACGCTGACGTCCCTATCAAACGAGCGAAAACTTTCAGTTACGCTCCGAGAGCCGTTTTTCTAAAGCTGTGTCGTACGTATCCCGTAACGATGGCGCCTGCCCTACGAGGCTGCTCCTCAGCCTTCCTCCAGGGCGAGCCCTGGCCGTGAAGGTCACACGGGACGGCTTCGTCCCCTCCGTCCCTACAGGTACGCGCCGCTTCGGCCTGTCGGCGACTTCAGCCCCGGTCCTGAGCTGACGGCGACACGGGCAACGTCCCACGCCTTGCTGCAGCCCCCCTTCTTCGTCAGGGAAGCCCGAGGACCCCGGCAGCGCCCGGGTGCCGCCGCAGGTCTGGCGCAGGTGGGCGGGCCGGGGGGGACACGACAGATCGATCGGGCGGCAGGAGCGGCGCCCGGCCCGCTCCCTTTCCCCTCCGCGACTCGGCTGCCTACAACCGGGGCTCTGCGGGGGCCGCGCAGCGACCCCTGGGGCGGGACACCCGCCC